ATTTCTCACCCGTCTGAATGTTGACATTGAACATATACGGTGTGATTTTTTTTTTTTGGTAAACTCCCTCCTGACTACGTAGCATATAAGCAAAAGAAATCTTCCTTATGGTTGCCACACATTTTATAGTGCAATAATGCATTTAAACGGCACTGTCATTGTAATTATTGTTGCTATTTCCTTTGCATGTTAGACTATTGTATTCACCACTACAAGATGAGGGCAATCCTATTCTGTTTTCAGGATTTTAGAACACTGTCAGTTGTTGGGGCTGCCAGTAAATTGCACAAAAACAACTGCACACATTTATATAATCTTGAGAAGAAAAAAAAATCCAATCCAGCTTGATCATTTTGTGGAACAACATCTGGATCAGTCAAGACAGGCCATTTGAAGGTTCTACTGCTGACTAACTAGGGCCTGCTGGGCTTCAATGGGCAGCTGTGAAATCCTAAAAAAAAAACACCTTTTTGGTAAACTGCTTACCCTCCTTAACAACATACGACAAGCTGCTGTGGCCTGTGAGCGATCCCACGTCGTGTAAAATGGCTGTCACATCCCTGGATGTCAAGCAGCAGACGCATATTATCCATACTGCTGAATGAATGACACCGAGAGAGCCAAGGTTACTATGGAAACGAATGGGAGCAGAGGCTGCCGTAACTAGCTACAAAAACGAGCTAAACGCGGTACGTTAGCAAAAACAAGGTGCCAAACGGAGCTATTGTAAAACGTGACAACCTCGCCACGTGATAGTGCAGCAAATACACGACAATATTTCACCAGGGCCTACTCCGGAGGATGAGATTTCCCTCCACTTCCTGGAGAGCCGACAAGCTAGCGCGCAGCTACAGCGAAGCTGAAAACGCACCACAGCTGGAAGGTGCAGGTACGTTCACGACGAGCACGTTAAGAAGAACAGACGGTGTCACTTACGAGAGGAGGATTTCCCTTATCTGCCGTGTCTAGCCCTGTCCATGACATCAGCTGTTTTTTTCCGGGTGTGTTGGTGATCGTGTGGGAAATTTTTGCGGGAGCGCGCAGGTTTGCAATCACATCCACAGCACCAGCGCATGCAGCGGAGGCGCGCGACCGTTTCCATGGTGACAGTTTAAGCTGCTTCTGCATCACAGCGGTCTCCCCAATATATTTGTTTTCACGCTCGGTAAATTGATCATTTTGGCAGACTAACACAAGAATTCTAAGCTACAGTAGCTGTTATTTTTAATTCATCTATCCATTTATTTCTCACTGCTCCTGTTTGAGTTCCTTTGAGTTGAAAGTGCAACCTCCGCTTAATAATTATAATAATAAACTTTATTTATAGAGCACTTTTCAAAACAAGTGTTACAAAGTGCTTTCCAATAAAAATTAAGAACTGTAATAAAATAAAGCACACAAATAGAACAAGAGGCTATAAAATATAAAACTGAACTAATATCAGGAAAAGCTCTCTGATAAAAATGTGTTTTAAGAAGTGACCTAAAAGAGAGCACAGAATCAGGCAGGTGAAGTCTGCTGCCTGCTGTGAGCTATGATTAAAAGATCAGCCTTGAATCCAAAAATATACATTAAATATATAAGGATCATGGAAATCATAGAAAGTTTCAATAGAGTGAGAAAAAAAAATCATTTGCCATTGTAAGAAAATTAATTTTGGAAAAATGTTTTGACAAGTTAAGACATTTATTTAAAATGTATTTTTGTCCATAATATTATTTATCATGCCATTTATCATACAACTAAGTGACACTCCCATCAGTCAAAATTGCCTCATTTCAAGAATTTACATTTAATATGACCTATTCCAATGCTGACAAATAGTCAGATTTAATCATAGGTATTTGTGTCAAAAAAAAAAAGGAAAAAATAAAAATCCCTGACTATTTATAGTGAATGGTTATGTACTTCTAATACAGAAAAGCTTGTGCTCACACAGAGATGTGTCAACAATATGAGCAGCAAGAATTATTCTGCTTGTGATAAACACAAATATTATATCTCAGCAGGGGAGTCCTGCAATGTCACTTAATATTTAAATGATTCAAAACTGTAATAAATTCCATAACTTCTAAGTTGGGGCATTTATTCGTATGTACAACAAAAAACTCACAGTGAAGATTGACTTTATAAAAATGCAGACCCTTCAATAGGAACTCAATGCAACAAAAGTCAGTACATCTTTCATTACCAAGACTTCCATCCATCTATTATCTTTACACGCTTAATCCTCACTATGGTCGTGGGGGCTGGAGTCTATCCCAGCCGACTTAGGGCGAACCCAGGGGACACCCTGGACAGGTCACCAGTCTACCGCAGGGCCACACTTAACCTCAACATGTTTTTGGACCTTGTGGGAGGAAGCCGGAGAACCTGGAGAGAACCCACGCTGCACGAGGAGAACATACAAACTCCAAGCAGAAAGATCCTGGGTGTCCTCATGCAAACCGATGACCTTCTAGCTGCGAGGCAACGATGCTAACCACTGAGCCACCTTGCAGCCCATTACGAAGATTTAAATGTTTTAGTTAATTTAATGCTCACGTTTATTTTTCAATTATTTTTTCTGTCCTTTGCATACAGGTTATCAGTGCTTTACAAATTTCTAGAGAGATATTCTGCAATTATTCAGAGACAATGTTTTTGCAGGTATTCTATTGAATTAAAATTAGGAGACATACCTGGCCAGGTGGTAGTTCTAATTCTTCAGAAATGCTTGATTGATTTTGGAAATGTGCTTTGATCATTTTCTTATTGGAATATTACTGTTCTTTCAAACTTCAGGAGACTGTCAGTAATTTGGTAGCTCCTTAGGCATTCACTGTGTCATATGTCAATGTCATAACCTTCAATAACTTTTGCACTCATGCAGCCCACTGTCATCACATTTCCACCTCCGTGCTTCACTGTTGTGTCTATGCATTCACCGTGGTCGTCCTGACCAGGTTCACACCAAACACACTGAACCCAGTTTGTGCCAAACAAAATGATCTTGGTCTCATGTGACTAAAAACTGTGTTTCCAAGTTCACCAGACTTTTTTTCATGTTCTTTAGCGGGTTTATTAATCTTGCAGCGTTGTGCCAAATAGCAAGCAATGGTGTTTTTCTTTGATAAAAGTTGACATAATGCACACTGTCTAAGCTGTCAACAAACTCTGATTTCCTCCAACAACCCCTGCACTACATCTGAGACCATGTGTTTTCCAGAGGTACATTATGTAAGTAATGCACATCCTATGGCATCATTTTTTGGAGGATGAGCATTGCGGCTCTGATTAGTGTTATGAAGACTCACTCTGTTCCTCCTGACTTCACTTTATTTTACCTGGTCACAGATCTTACTTTATCCGTTTCCATCTTTGTAAAGTGTGACAGTCAGATTGTTTAGATAAGCTGGCAATTCTTTTCTATGTGGAGCCATGATGCAGACATGCAGCTAGACACAGCCTTCAAGTTTCTGTAAGTTCCAGTGTTCACAAGTCTTTGTAACCTAGTTCATGTGATTAGTGACTAAATCACAAGTGTGACTAACATTGTTTCAGAGACCACAAGTTTTCGAACTAGTGTGTCAGTGATCACAGATGTATTCACTGTATTTTGAGTATCGTCTCAAAAGAAGAAATAGTCTGCATGTCAACTTATAAAAAACGCAATCATTGAAAAAGATCCATTTTGAATCCTTTGAAAATGAAGTGTTTTTGCAAAGAAGGGTACTCACGTCAGTGTTGTGTTGTTTGCTTTTTAGGCAACATATGTTGGTCTAACAAGCGAACCTTTGGCATTCTGCCTGAACTTAGGCAATGCTACATTCATAGTTTTTGGGCAAGAGCAAACAAAAGTATGTTGCATGTAACTTCTCTGACTCCACTTCCTTATTACATTATTAGTCAGTAATAATCAGAATCACATGTGATTTTCCATTGTTATGTATTGTATTGTTGTATTGTTGTTATGTATTATTAGCCTCGAGTGCTATATATATATATATTACTGTTATTTGGAATTAAGAGTGAAAAGTGAAAGCTTGAGACAAAGGCAGTCACTGAAACTGGTTTTTAAAAAAGGATCTTTTTACCCTGCCCTTTTATAGTTTATCGCTTAGCAACACTTTAAATATTGCCATATGATTTAAACTTGACTCAGCTGCAGTGGTAGTGTTTATTCTGAGCAGGTGCACCATGTCGGTGTAGTGATAATACAGTATACGTCTTGCTGTACAGTATTTATACGGTTCGCATCCATATTACAAGTCAGTTTGGTGCAAACTTTGATTCAGACTGGCTGCTAGTAAACTCATGCCAATAAATGTCTTTAAGGAACTTCCTGAAAACCTTCGCCCATTTAGTGGCTTTGAAATCATATTAGTCGGTAATAATTCAAAATGTGAATCATTATTTTTGCATTCCTGTTTAGAGAAATTTGCCATTTTTGTGATTTGTTGTTACATACAGGCCTTTTGAGTTCTTGTAACAGGAAAAGCACAAGTGTTACTAATAAGAACATTGCTCCATTCTATTCAAGTGTTCCTGTACACCATGACAGTGTGACAATGACCAGGACCCTGACCTCCCAGCATCTCAGCAGAACTTAGCCATTGTTAATTTCATCATTCACGTCCGTACTTTTCCTCTTGTCGTGTCAAAATGTCCTTGATGGGCACTGATTTATTTTATTTTATCTTCTAAATCTCACTTATCATTATTAACAACATAAAAAGAAAAGCTAGAAACAAAGCTGCTGCACAACACAGAACGATCATCTGGAAAAGGAATGGGAAAAAAGTGAAACTAAAATTTAGAAAAACAGTCTGCTTCTAATTACATCTCGAACTGGTGACTTAACTTTTCGTTTTGGCAGGTTTCCCCATTCCAGCTCCTGCCCAGGACTGTGTCTGAGAGTCAAGACTAATCAAAGGCACTTGTATGGAGAGGACTGTTGGCCTCTGAAGGGATCGAGCCAGTTCAGGCCAGCCTGCTGCTCTTTCTCTCCTTCTCTCCTTTTTCTTTTCCCTCTCACTCTCTCTTCCTGTCCTGTCTGTTTAAGGAGAGCAAGATTTTGGGGAAATTCCTTCAAGCTACTTTACTTCAGGTTTCTGTGGGATTTAAACATGCACACTGAGACTTTGGTACAGTCCATGTTAGTGCCGTTGTTTCTGATCCTGCTCTCTGCCGTTGAGGACACTTTGTTACAGTCGGTGAGGTGAGTTTCCACACAGTTTGTTTTTTCTTGTTTATTTTAGGGTAGTCTGGAGAGCTAGAAGGAAGAGGGAGGCGCAGAGTTTTGCTGACAAAGACAACATTTGGAGGGTACAATGTGGGAAAGTTTAGGAAAGCCAATGCATTTCGTTTCCACTTATAGGTTTTTTGTGCATTTTCTTCATACTGCTTTACTTGCCAACGGTCAAAATGCTGGAACCATAGATTAAACGTGAGCTTCTCTGGTTTTATTATTTACCGTTGCATGCAAACTTCTTCTTTATTTCTTTTTTTTCATCTCAGCTGACATGTAGCATCGTTACAATACAATGACAGCTTGATGGTCATAGGTTTAGTGCAAAACTGAGCTTCAGTGACATTTTTGTTAAAGCTGGAGTTATTTATTTTAAAAGATTTTACAATAGAAATAATGTGCAGCTGCTGACAGGGTTCAAATATAAGGAAATCCAAAGATTTATGCAAACAGTGTTGCTACAAACAATAACCTTTTGTACAATATAATAATAGCTTTTTTCTTATTATTATAATAAAATCAGCAATACTAGCTAAAGCTTCTAATGCTAAATAGGGTTTTTTTGGAAACAAGGGGGAAAAAGGAAAAAAAGAAAAGAAAGCAAGCAACGAAAAGAACCAAAAAAAGAAAAAGAAAGGGTTCCTTTTTTTACCCTGCCCTTTAACAGTTTAGCGCTTTGCAATACTGTAAATATTGCGCTGTGATTTAAACTTAACTCCGCTGCAGTGGGAGTGTTTATTCCAAGCAGGTGCACCATGCCTGTGTAGTGATTATCCTGCATATGTCTTACTGTACGGTGCATACTGTATTTATTGAACAGCGGAGGCAAACCCACACATGCTTTGCAGAAAGCAACGGCTTCTGAAAATCCAGGAGAATGTGGTTGTTTTTCTGATGCATATCCAAATAATCCCTACCTTGTTTGTTTGCCAGTTATGTCATCATAACGACCTAGCAGTGTGAAAAATCGAAGGTGCGAAACACTGAGTAATGAAGGCATGCTATGTAACCTCAGCTCTGTGAGTATGGATAAGGAGTGCTGTGAAAAATCCATGTAATGCTTAGCTCACACAGGCTAAGGCAAACAAAACACTAGCTTCATTCTTTTTAACCCACGTTTCCTTCTAAATGAGCTTTATATGTCAGAGGCCTGTCTAGAGCCAGACCACACACAGAGTCGACACAAAGTTGATTTTTTTGTTCTTTTCCAACTGATGAACAGAAAAAAATACTGTTGCCCTTCTGTGAAAGTAAAAGATGCCTGTTGTTCTTATGTAAAAGAGATGGATTTGAGCAAAGTATGTCACTGTTTTTACCACTTATATACAGAGTAAGTAGAAAGCTCCGTGTGACCTATAGGGAGAACAAACTGCTCATTTACATTGTCAGTGCCACCACCATAGCTGCATTAATGGATAGCAGTTTGAAGGAATTTCCTCAGTGGGTTCTAATGGTTCCTTTGACAGAGCTTACAGGAAGAAGTCACTGATGGATTGAGGGGTGTTATCAACCTTCAGCAAGGTCGTATTATGAGACCCAAATGCAGAAAGTCAAAAAACCAGCAAAAAACAAAAGCTGACAACTCAAGATCTGGTTTAGGCTACAATGTGTCGTCTTTACTCATCCGAGGACAACTTTAACTAGCCAATTACTTTGAAATAAGTGTTAAAAAAAAGCGGTGGCCAATCCAATGTCTTTCTTCAGTCATGCATGTGGAACAAAGCCATTTAAATTCAGTTGAATTTGGGACCAAAAATGTAAATTTTCTAATGCTTTCTGCATTGGACTTTCATGAGGTTTTCAGCAATTAGCATAAAGCAGCAGTTAAACAAAACCCAAGTGACAAAACCACATGAGATTCCAGGTTTCGAACGGAGGAGGATAGACTGCCACGCTCTCTGCATGCAGGTCAGGGGAGAAAGTAAGATAGTGAGGCCTGAAATGGAAATGTCTTAGCCATTGTTGTCGTCTTTGCCATCTTCTGGATTGCATTACCCGCTGTTGCCAAATTTCCATGTTGCTGACACTGAATCAAAGGAGTTATTCCAAAGACCAAACAACACAGACCACAGCAATCCAGCAGAGCAGATGTAACAATGCTGATGAAGATCAGCTGAGACTGGAGCAGGACTGGGCAGAGTAAAATAGTGGAAGGTCATGCTTGACTGCAGGAAGTCATCTGATTGTCACGCTCTCATGGTAAAAGACTGGGGCTCATCCTGATTATCAGATGCATTTAAAACCCCCCTTGGAAAGGAGTTTGGTCAAGCTTAAAAAGGCCACTGCAGCTTGAAGCCTGTGTGAAATGGAGCTTTTATAACCTCCACATGACACATGGAACCCACACATTCTGTATTTAATTTTAATAGGAGTGTCAGGAACATTTCAGCTGTTGATTGTTTGAAAAGTGTCTACTTTTCCCAAGCTGGACAGCTGGCCAATATCAAGAGAGGGCAGGGATAGAAAAAGAATGTCAGATGGTGTCCAACTGAAACAAATCTCACTGAGAGACCCTATGGCGTAAAAATGAAACACAGGAACAGCTGCAAGGGTGTGCTCAATGAAAGGTGAATTTGTTTCCGTGCAATTTGATTTCTTTGAACTTCTTCAGGCAGTGTTTGTGTGTGTGTGTGTGTGTGTGTGTTTCCAGTGCATTTGTTGTTTTTGTTGCTCTGAGGAGAAACATTCTTTCCACTATTCTTTATCTTAGACTTTATTTCTTCCATGATATTGCAGTGAAATACCCTCAAACTGAAGGGAAGGGAAGCTGAAATTCAATTTTATGTTATCATCTGATGTGTATGTGAATGATAGGTGACAGAAAATTAAACAGTGGAGAAATGAAACTAGCTTCACCTTTTAGCTAAAAACTATGAAACTTTAAATGTTCACTGGGGAGAAAAATAAATGGGTTTGCTGAATGTGTTCATTCCCACTATAACACCAAACACAAGCACACACACACACACACACACACACACACACACACACACACACACATACACAGCTCTGACTACAAACATCTTGAAGGAGTCCTTTTTGATGTTTGAAGGCAGACGTTGCTTTCATATCTGAGCATTGGTATTTTCACTCAGATGTGGTATTTTGTATTTCAAATAGACACATGTGGCAGAGCACTTAATCTTTGACCTCAGGAGTTTCCAGAGCTGCAGAACAACTGACCTTCTATCTTCTTCCCAGCCAGGTGGGTGGTTTGTGCAAGCTGTCCACAGAGTCGTCCCTGCGTCGCTGCCGGACACCTGATGGCAAGATCTGCAGCGGGAGGGGCAAGTGCGACTGTGGCATCTGCGTCTGCGAGGCCACGGACCCCGGGAAGTTCTACGGGCCACGCTGCGAGTGCCACGACTGGGTCTGTGCTACATATAGCGGAAAAACTTGCAACGGTACGTACAGTGATATATGTGCTGAATCTAACACAGCCATAAGGTTTGGTCTTATAGTTAAGAGGATATGATGTTATATCGCTTATCCATATTTTCATTGATGTTTCATGTGAATCTGAAGTTGTGTACGGTCACATGGCTTCACATATTTTACCGCTTGGACGTGGTTGTTAGTGATGGGTCAGTAAGTGATGCAGCAGAGCTCTTCACTGTAGGCTTACATCAGAGGAGTTTGGCAAATGGACTCTCCAGCTGATGTTTTGTGTCTGTTCCAGCCAGGTGCTGGAAAAAGGAAAGCCTAATTATGTCATCCAAAAGCCTACTAGATTTTAGTTTAGGTCCCAGTGTCCAATTCATTTGATATGATTTTAAATAAAGAAACCTGTATTTCAGAGTGTTTTGGTTTCACCTGTATTTCTGTCTTTATTACAGTCAGCGGGGTGCAGCATTGTGTCTTCAAAAGCTCACATAGCCTTGGCAGCACTTCAAAGAGCTTCACTGGTAATAGGCAGCTGGTTGGTTCACAAAACTCACCAAGGCATTAGCTTTTGTTGGGAGGCACAGCTTTTAACCTGCCCCATTGCCTGAAAGTCTATAAATTCTCAGAAAGAACACTTTGGAGTGCATCCTTGGTTGGTCAGTCACGTTTTACTTTACAAAACCTATTGAGCAGGTTTGACATCGTCACATAAATGAGTATATGACATAATATAAAAGTGGTATTTGTTTTACAGGCAGTTGCCAGTTTAATTGCCAGATATAGCAAAAACTAATGCAGTCTAATAAAACAACCCGGCAATAAATCCAGTCTTCATAAAGGTTGTGTTCAGTTTTTATTGAATCCAGGTTGACATGGCATGATAGTCATATTTAAGGAACCAGTTTATGGTGCTCTTTTATTAAAGCTGCAATTATCAATATTTACCCATCTTGGAAGTTTTCCTCTGTAATCATTTTTTCCACACTGACTCATAATTAATATATTTTTCGGGTTTTTTTTGTTTTGTTTGCTTGTTTTGTTTTGTTTTTATTAACGAGAATTTATTTAATTTTTTTTTTTTTAAAAAAAAGACTCTTTGATGGCAAAGTGAAAATGGATTTCTACAAAAGAATGTCAACTAATTAAAAATATAAAATGTACAGTAAGTGATCGCCTAAGTATTCACTCCTTCATGTCTTTATTTAGTAGATGCACCTTTGGCTGACATTACAGTATTGAGCCTGTGTGGATTGGTCTTAATCAGCCATGCACAACTGGATCCTGCAATTTCACCACATTCTTCTTTACATACCTGCTAAGGCTTTGTCAAGTTGCACAGGATTGTGAGTGAACTGCCTTTTTCAAGCCTAGCTACACATTTTCAGTTGGACTGGGCTCTGACTCAGCCACTCCACAACATTCATCTTGTTGTCTTTAAACCATTGGCTGTTGGCTTCACGTCATTGTCGTGCCACAAAACAAATCTTTTCCCAATTGCAGTTCTCTTGCAGACTGCATCAGATTGTCCTCAAGGATTTCCTTATACTCTGCTACATTCATTTAACCCTCTACCTTGACAAGCCATCTGGGGCCTGCTGCTGAGAAGATCAACATGACATGATCAACAAGAACATCATGATGCTGCCACCACCATGCTTCACAGTAAGGCTGGTGTGTTTATCATGATGTGCAGTGTTTAGAGTTGGCTAAACATAGACAGTCTGATGGCCAAAAAGCTCAATTTTGGTCTCATCAGACCAAAGAAACTTCTTCCACTTGACATCAGTGTCTCCCACATGCCTTCCAATGAATTAAACTCGAGACTTACAATGAGCTTTTTTTTTTTAACAGTGGCTTTCTCTTTGTTGCTTTCCTGTAAAACAACAGATGACAAGTGTCTTGGTGGCCTCCCTTACTGGTCTCTTTCATGCAGTCACTTATTTTTTTTAGCACAGCTCGCTCTAAGAAGATTTACACATGTGCCATATTCCTTCCAATTCCTAATGATGGATTTAACTGTACTCCAAGGGATATTCAGTGACTTGGAAACTTTCTCGTATCCATCCCCTCACTTATGCTTTTCAATAAGCTTTTCACAGAGTCGCTGCAAGTGTTGTATTGTCATCATGGCACAGAAAGAGCCACAAGTCGTTATTTACCAGCGACTGGACCTTACAAATACAGATTTCTTTATGTTACAGTCACTTGAGACTTCAGATTCAATGTTGAAAAGCAATAAAAAGGAAAAACTTCTACGGATGGTGAATACTTTTTTTTTTTTTCAGCACTGTGATTGCATTTATTGATTGCTTTGGAGCATCTTTTAACTCATTTTGCTTTGTTTTTGTTTGTTTGTGTAGCTGTGACCCGCAAATAGCATTGTTTGGTTCATTCTCACTGCTCACATCTTTGTTGTTTTAAAATGCAAACAGCTGTTTTTAACAACAACAAAAAAGCTTTAAAAAAAACAGAACTATTGCCACTACCAAATTGCACGCAATGAACACAGTGGAGCATTTGGAAACAGATATTTCCATCAGGCATTGACGGAGAGTAAAACAGATCTAAAAGAACAGCTAATACTGGACGTGTATGTGTAAGGTAGCCAATCCAGCTTATTATGTATGAAGGCCACTGTCTGCTAAGATGTTCACCACACATATTTGTAATTTGTTGCTCTCTCCCAAAGTGTCCAAAAATGTATTAATGCAGGTGCTGACACAAAGGCAGGATTCTCGCAGGGTTATTGGAGTAAACTAAATGTACTTAATATTCTGACAAATAAGGCAGAGCATGAACTTACATAACAAAGTACTGATAGCAACCTGTTACCAAGCCTGGTTATACATTTATCACATCAGATACCTTGAAACATGTGAGCAAGGCTGGATTCTATATCTTGAAGCAGAAAAAAAAAAAAGAAAGAATTCCAATCTTTTTGTTCAGTGTCCTCTGTAGTCACTGGGCTATGAGTGTCAAGGTTTAATGGAGATATGTGTGCATCCAGAACGGGTCTAATGGAGATATGTGTGCCTATATAGGTTTGTGTGTGTGTATGTGTGCATGTGAGGGGTAGAGTGATTTATTTGGGTAGACAAGTTGGCTGCTGTGAGGAGCTCATTATGGTTCAGCAGTCTGGAGCGAGGCCCTGCTTCAGCCTGATAATGGGGTTTCACTCACTGGTACACAGACTGCCAATGGAACCTAGATGCATCAGAAGAGGGATGAGTTTTCACACCCAGACACACACACACACACACACACACACACACACGTGCACACGCACACAATTGCATGCATACACACACAGGATCAGGCTCATTCTCACATTGTAGCAACACTCATCCACACATACAAATATGGACAAGTGGCAACATGTACACACAATCATAAGCCCATGTGGATATAGAGGCCCAGTAATTACATTCAAAGCATAGTGAGAAGAAGACCCTCTCCCCTCCGCCCTCAGTGGCCCATGCAGCGTGCATGGTCAGCTGTCAGAGATCGGCAGCCAATTTCTCTCCCTGCAGCTTCCTTATCTCTGCCTCTCACAACTGGCCACTGATAAGATCCTATAGATTTTTCTCCGTGGGGATAAAGTGTGTGTTTTTCTTTTCCAAAAACATTAGTTTTCCTGGCATTGAGACGCGGTTTTACCTTGGATCTCATTTGACATATGTTAATTTGGATCCCCTCATTTAGAACAACAAGTCGGGTTCGATAAAGAAGCCGGAGATCTTATCGGTATCTAACTTTGTAGATTCAAATTCTCAATTGAAATGTTGCCATGTGGAAGAAGTTGATATATTTTGTAGCTCCTATTTTGTCGAGGGCTACGTGGGAAGTAGTACTTTCACAGCAGAGGTTGGAAATAAGATCCCTTTTGGAGGGGGTTTTCCATTCTGTTGTTGTAATAGTTTCCTTTGAGTAGAGAAATGCAAGTGGACTGAGCACCAAGATCTGCATTTACATACGATGTGTTTGTCTACTGTAAACTGTCTGTATTGTGAAAAGCCGACGGTGTTCTTGCCAATGCGTGCTGGGATGGAGGCATTATGGAAGTATATGAGAGTAGTTTACATACTAATATGTTCTCTTTAGGTATAAGTACAGGAGAATGAATAGGCTCCCTTGTTATTTTATTGTCAGTAAAAGAGTAAATTATGGTCTTATTATGTTTTCCATGTTTCTCCTTAGAAAAGCAGCTACGGCCATGTTCCTCAGTTAAAGATTTCTTGTTTGTGATTCCCCATAAATACAGTATCTAAGTTTATACTATGACCAGTGTCACTGAATGTAAACCTTTATTAGCACATGTGGCTTACGTGTTTCTACATTAAGAGAAATCGAGTATATGAAGCCTTCACATGTGAATTACGATTTGGAAGTTATACTTTTGAAAACAGCGTCTCATATGTCAGGATTCTCTTGTTTCCAATTAGCCTGCTTTGGATTTATTGTGTGTAAGACACCAAAAACAATGATGGGATTTAACACATGCGCTTTTCTAGACTATGGCCAGTTTGGTGCTACACAAACAAAAATTACCATATTGCAAATTACAATGGAATGCTCAATGGTGAAGCTATAAATATCCTCCATTCTATCACAATACAGCAGAACTTACTTTTTAACAAACCTCAAACATTCTAGCCAGTAACACTGCAGCTTTAGCTGAGTAAGTGTTGATTTTGTAGTATTCACATAAAGTGCCGATGCTGTCGTGTGTTTTTCCTCCCACACACATCCTATCCAGTTTTATAGCAGAGCAACCAGATGATGACCTGGACAAACATCTGTTCACCAACTGTGCAAAAATGTCCTGTCATTTCACTCCACTTCGTTTTTGTGTGTGTGTGTGTGTGTGTGTTTTAAACTGTGCTTAAATCTCCCTGTTCTGTTCCCCTGTCCTCTTTTTTCTTTTTTTTTTTGAAATCCCACAGTACATGAGAAACATAACCTCTGATTGCTAGAACAGATGAGTTTTAGTTGTTCAAAGGAATATTAAAATCAGACTTTT